ATTTCTAAATATTACTTCATTATTATTATTAATTAAAATTTATTAGTTATATAATTAATTTAATAAATTAATTAAAAAGTATTTAGTTAATAATTAAAATAATGAATTATTTAATAATTTAATAGATAATAAAATAATTATGTAATTAAATAATACATAGATAATTAATAAAAGAAGAAAATAAAAAAACAATAATTTCTAAGTGTTATTATTTTCATTATTATCAACATCATCATTAAGGTTTACAAACCATAGTTGATCGAGTCAGTCAGACTATTCGGCCCAAACCCAATTAGGGTATTGGTTCTATTTCACCCCCAAATCACATTTTTCCTAGAACACCTTTGGGCCAAAATTTTATAATTTTTTAAAACACTTTTTTCCTAGACAATAGTATTTTGGGCCAAAATTTTCTTTTAATTTTATAATTTTTTAAAACATCACAGGCTGATCAGTTTGGACCAAACAATCAAACCACTAACTCAGAAACTAGCGGTCAAAGCGGTTCCCATTTCAGGTCAACTTTTAAAACATTGATTATTATCTATTATTATTATTATTATTATTATTATTATTATTATTATTATTAGGATAAAAAACTTAAACATATCCTGAGTTTTTCAAATATACTTAAACAGACCTTGTGCCACTGGACTTAATAATAATATATCCCCAATTAGTGAAACGTTTAGAATTGTTAATATGTGACAACCACATGACCCATTTTAATATTTAAAAAATCTATTTTGCCCTTTTATGCCCTAATATTCTACTAATCCCTCGAATTAAAATGTTTATTTAAAAAATCTATTGATCCCTTATGCCCTCTCTTTTTGAAAGATAAAGAGACGGTCGTCCATCTTTTCTTTCAATGTCTGACTATCCAATCTCTCTGGTTTGCTTTATTGGGTATTCACACTCATCTTAATTAGTTTTACAATATCTCTCAATGGTTTGAACAGTTGATCCATTTGGTCGAAGCTCGTGGGAACACTTCTTTTTTTTCCAACTTTTGCAACTGGGGTCATTGCCATATGCTTTATCTGAAAATCACGAAACAAGTTGGTATTTGAGAAACGCCCACTCAACTATTTTGCCCATTCTTTGATGGCTTAATCTTCCAGCTAACACTCTCAAAATTAACACCAACAGAGCGTGGTGTAACTCGTGTGCTACCATTCGTTTAGTCATCAGAGATCACTGTGGCTCTTTCATCCTTGGGAAGGCTCGTTCCTTAAGCTGCTCCTCTCCATTCAGGCAGAGGCTCTTCCAATTCTGGAAGGACTTTGGTGTGCTATCTCTTTGGGTCTGGAATCATTGCAAGTTGAAAGTAATGCAAAAATTTTAATGGATATTCTCATCTCACATCTAACTTTGGCCCACCTGGATCTTCTCAATCTTGTTACAAACTAGCTCACGAAAGCTAACTTCATCAGGTCAATTGTATTGGATGAGGCCCATTCTTTTGAATTCTTGATGTTCTTTTGTCCCTTATTCCTTTGCTAACAAGAAAAGTAAAAGGGAAAAATCATTTGTTGCCAAATGGATTAGATTATTCTATTCATCCAAACAAACTTTATCTCCTCTGACATTGCATTCTATTGCTGATTTTTATTTAGTAGGCACATGTTCCATAGGTCCTTGTGTTTCTTATGGACATATTTTTTTTCTGAAATTGGAAAGAAAAAAGTTTAGCTTGGCTTGGCTTTTAGAGGATAGTCTTATCTGAATTAGGTTCTGTATAAGTTCTTTTGTACATCTCTTCTTTTTAATAATTTTTTTTTATTTTACTTTCAAAAAAAGATTTGATGTTGATGGGGTTGGAAAAATTATGAAGAGAGAAAAACAAGGGGTCAACTAAATTATCAAAGGGTATTTTGATAACGAAGGTTTTATACTTGTATACTTTTCTTTCAAAAAAAAAATAATAAGAGAGGCTTTAGTATTTATCAAAAACCTTATGAAAGGTTTTTAGTCTTTTACCCTTTTTCTAAGCTTTTATACTCGTATATTTTTCTTTATTTTAATAAACTTTTACCTTACCTTCTTCAAAGAAAAAAAAAGAAAAATTAAAAAAGATTAGGTTGGGTCATGGGTATCTTACACAAGTTATGTATTTCTCTCTCTCCTCTTCCAATTTTCTATGCTCTCTTTTCTCTCTCACCTCTCCTTTACATTTTTTCTCTGCTTCCGAATGTCTCTCCTCTTTCTTTCTCTTTCTCCTCTCTCCTTTTTCTCTCATGGATTATCTCTTCTCTTTCTCCTCCCCATTCCCCTTTTGTTCTCTATTGGGGTTTCTCTTTACCGTCAGAAGAGAAGAAAAATAGGGATTCCCTTTGGAGGATGAAGACTAGGCATCCTACTATAAGAGAGGTCTCCACATTGGGTTTGTGAACATCAATCTACATCTCATCTTTGGATTTCCATCATTTCTTAGTTATGTTTTTCCATTGTTCACTTGTTTCCACTTGATAGTGAGATTATTTGTGCTAATCCAAGAGAGTTTATATCTTTTGCCCGTATGTCTCTACTTGTTGCTAGAGGGAATATTGTATTCTACTAATCCTATTGATCAATGGTGGAAACTAGATATTTAGACTATGGTTCCATGGTTTTTACATCTCATTGAGTAAACTCAATCCATTATCCTACTGGAACTTCTTCTTGTTGATTTGCTCATAGACATCTTAAAACCCAACACTAGATCTCCTCCCTTACATATTTTCTCTATTTCCTTTCTCCTCTCTCCCTTTCTTGGTTATACTCTTTCTCTCTCTTCAAACTTTTTCTCCACTCACTTTTCTCTCTGTTTTTTTTTTTGTTTTTGTTTTTTTTATTTTTATTAAAGGTAAGGTATAAACTTATTATGAAGAAAAAGAAAGAAGGTTACAAGGATATATTTAAGAGTAAGAACTCGGGCCCAAGACAATGGCACAAAACAACTGGGATGGCATAAAATCAAAACCATCAAAACTAAGACAACCTCAAACAAAGCCTCAAAGAAAATGCATCTAACCAATAAAAAGCCCGAGTTTGAACACCATGCCCAGACCCGATCCTACAAACAAAACAAGCCACACAAATCATGCAAGACCACAAGCACCCCAAATAAGCGATTGTCAAAAGGATCAAAACTCGACCTAAAATTAACCAGCAATAAGACCAACCAAAAAAACTAAAGATTATTTTCTCTCATTTCTCTTTCTCTCTCCTCTATTATTTTCTTTCTTTAGCTTTTAAATGAATCTCAATTTTTTTGTGTTGAACCAAATAGGACATGTGGCAAAATAGAAAAGCCAAAAGATTTTTATTTTTCAAAAAAGATTTATTTACATAGCTTTAAATTTTCAAATGGGTGGATTTGGTTTGGTTGGGTTAAAGTGGGTGTTTTCTTGGGTTACAACCAAATTAATAGATTTTTCTCTCATTTCTCTTTCTCCTTCCTTTATTTTCTTTTTTCTTTCTTTCTTTGGCATTTAAATGAATCTCAGTTTTTGTGTGTGTTGAACCAAGTATTGACATGTGGAAAAATAGAAAAACCAAAATATTTTTCTCTTTCAATAAGGATTTATTTACATAGTTTATTAAATGTTCAAATGGATGGGTTGGTTTGGTTGGGCCCCAACCCATGTACATACAGAATATATGGGTCATCAATGAAAGTGGGTGCGTGGTTGGGGGATGGATTAGTCTTCAACATGAACCCCACCCAATCCAATTCATTGATTTTGCCACCCCGAGGTGTGGTGCAGTAGGATTTTTAAATTTTTGTTAAGTAGGAATAATATTTCTTTTACAAAGTATAAGAAAATGCAATAACTCCCCAGAAATCAAAATGAAAAACCTTGAATAAGATTAAATTAGGGCCCCGTTTGGTTCATGGAATAGGGGTTTGGAATTGAAACCGGAATGGATTATTCTGTTTCCAATTGTTTGGTTGGGTGGAATTAGATTCACATTCCCATTTTTGCTGGGATGGCATTCTCCCATTTGAGGGAATGATCATTTCCTGCCCTCCCTTGGGAATGAAATTCCATTCCTGCTGATTCTAAATCTCATTTCCATTCCTGTCTGAACCAAACAGGATATGGAAATGGACCATTCCGATTCTGATTCCGAAATATTTTAATTCTAATTACAATTTTGATTCCAACTGTAAACCAAATGGACCCTAAGAAATGAACCAAGGGTTGAATTGTCATGGCTACCACTTTTTTTTCTCCACCACTTTATTATTATTTTGTTCTTGCAAATATGACAATGATATTTTTAAATCTCCCATGGAATTCATGAAAATATAACAAATTAATGTAGCACATATGGGATTAAACATTGAATCCTCTGTTTAATGGATAGTTTGGTTCAAAATCATCTAATATATGATTCCTTTGATGTTGTAGAAATATCTTTAATCTTGTATATAAAACCCATAATTAACACTATTCGGAAGCCCATAAGTTAATACTTCATACATGATCAGTTAAAAGGCCCACCATTTTATTAATAATTATAGATTGATATTGTCCATCTGATTTACATTGTAATTTTGGAGTTTATAAATTATGCCAAAACGTTTTCCTACTAAATCCAAATAAGGCATCAAATTTGTCAACTGCAACCAACCAATCTGCTTGAATTTTTGCACAGATGATCTCTGAATTCCAATTAATTTCTATTTAAATAACTTGCAATTTTATGCAAAATTATATCTATGCATGGTCCTCGCAAGGAGAATGAAGATTGTTGTGAAGAGTTTAATTTCGGATGCCCAAGGGGCCGGATTTTGTTGAATGGACATTGATGGTTGATGGGGTTTTGGTGGAAACTCTTGATTCAAGGGTGAGAAACGGAAGGTCTGGAGTTCTCTCCAAATAAGGGTGTATTTAGGGAAGTCGTATGATTGTATCATTTGACTAAAAGATCTTAAATTTCAGATAATTTTCAGCCATCTGATTTCCAAATTATTTTTGCTATTCTAATACTAGCTTCTTGACGTGTCTAGCTTCATGACCTTAACCACAAGAGTAACAGCTCAAAAATTGCAAGTGTATACAAGTACAGCAAGAATTTCTATATTTCTCCCCCAAAAAACCTTCATCATGAAAGATAAGAAGTGAAGATGAAATGAATCTACTCCTAGTAACGAAATATTCCGGAACCATATGTATAAAACACCATGTCAATAAAGAGGGGAAACTGCAGAAAAGCAAATAGTGTTACTGGGACTACAGCAAGTGAAGTTAGGACAATGGAAATCAGTCGCAGTCTACTGCAAAGCATGATAAAAATGGTGGAGCAGAAGGTTGTCATCATGGCTGCTATAGAGAAGAAGAGCATTGCAAGCCCAATTATCAACTTTTGAGGCAAGGATTTGAGGAAATCATCCTCAGCATAGCGTGAAGTGAGGATAGACAAGAACATCAACATTGAGGTTGAAGAAGAGAAGAGCGCAAATGCATCAGATATCACAAAAACCATGAAAGACTTAGAAGTCACGAAAATGGGGTTTCCTGTATCACTTTGAATGCCTCCAGGCACAGTAAATGCTGCAGCGAACATTATTGTGATAATGAGGGCAGCTGCAACTGTGCATGATGTTGCTGTCTCCTTCATCCAGACTTCTCCGTTGGCAACTAAATCCTTATGTTCCTCAGAAAATAAGAGCTGGGGTTTCAGGCCGTGCGAGTTTTTCCATTCTCTGTACTTTGGAGGTGCCAACTTCTCCACAACCTGGAATTAATGATGAAAAAATGTTTAAGAAGACAGAAGTTTCTACCAACAAGAAAGAAAGAAATGTGCAGATCCACCTTGAACCATTGAAGCTCTCTCTGCAGTTGTAGAGCTGCACCAGAGACGCAGTTGAGTTGTTGAGGAGGTGCTAGCTTTGCAGCCAAATGCAAAATGTTGTTCAAATAAATATCTCTATCAAATGTTCTGAGTGCTAAATGTCGGCCTGTTTTCTTCAGGTGGTTGAAAATCATCTCTTGTCGATTCAGCACAGCCACATGAAGTATACAACGGAGATTTGCATCTGGGTACTCAATCAAACGAGGATAATATTTAAGAGTCATTTCTAGAAATTCAACAATTCCAAACTCAGTAGCTGCGATTAGTGGTGGCCCAAGCAACTTCTCAACTTTGTGGTCATTTTTTACGGCCATTAGAACATTTTTAAAGAGGTGCTCGACAAGTTCGCGAGCTTGCAAATGCATCAGCTTGCTTTTGCGGACCGACTTAATACTTGGTACTGCAGTTAAAAACAGGTCGGAGTATAGTTAACTTTGTTAGCTAATTAACAAGAACAACAGATAAATAATGTAGCAAAGTAAGAGTAAAGCCAGAGAACTGGGATTAGTCATCAAAGATTTAGAAAACATTATATATAAGCAAATTAATGAACACCTTCTTTACCTATTCTTTGAAGAACAATCCAAAGTAGCTGATTAATGTAGCAAAGCACTGCAAATAAAAATGGATTAATATGGATTTGTTAATCATTTCAATGCATGCATACTGTAATATAATATAACTCACCTAAATGGGTACTGGATCTTTGGTGGGAACCATTAATGGAGACTTGTTCTTCCTCCAGAGAATCCTCCTCATCCTTGTAGAATTTCTTGTCAGTATGGCTATGGGTAGGTAGTTCAACATGGACCCCTGTCAAATATATTGGGTGGTCAAAGCACTAAAAGGAGTTTTATTTATTTATTTATTGATTGGTAGTAAATTAAAAATCAAATATAAAAAAGAAATAAGAGAAATTACAGGGACCTACAAGGGAAGGCCCACGGCCAAAACCAAAAGCCAGAAAAGAAAGAAACACAAAAGAAAATCCCAAGCCCAAGGCCCAACCCAACCAAAAGCTATAGGACCCCCAAAACTCTCCAAACTAGGGAGATCTGCAGCTCCTTCCCCTTCCTCCTCTTCCTCACCTCTTGTACTCTTGCAACCTCTGGGACCTTTTACCAACACAACGAAGTACAATCCCTCAAATCCTTATTAAATCCTGGAATACCACCAATGTAGTAGACTAGATCATCATCACTATCCATTAGATTGGAAGAATTTTAGTTGGTATTTGACAGTCTTTCGGTCTGCAGCAAGTTCAAAAGATAAAAAAATGGTCTTTTTCCGTTAGGTATCAGATCCAAAAACCCAAAAACAAGCATGCGGAAAGATCAAATAAGCTGAAAATTGGAAAGGTTCAAATGAAGCTTTGGTCTTTCTGCACTGAAAATAGCCTTTCCAACTGTTTTTTAACAGCCCAGTAGATATTGACCTGAACCCAACAGTCTGTTTAGAGACAAGACTCCGAAATTTCAGTGTGTTTTCTTGTCTATTGGGCTGTTGAAATATCTACTTAGAAATACTTGCGAAACGTTAATCCATTGGACAATTCTGCTCAAGTACAACAAGTAAATTACCAGCAATTTCTTCTCAATCCCGAAAGAAAATATCGAGATCCCAAGCAAAATTTGCATAACTAGCTATACTTCCACTGTCACCGCTGCTACTTCAACCTGCTCCTTAATGAACCACACTCTTCACGCCTAGCTTCTTTTGGAAAATCTGTGACCTTACATATTCGCCCCACCCTGGAGTTTAAAGCCACCGGACCCTCTAAAACCACTCTGATCAGAAACAATTTCCCCGTCAAGCCCCTTCCACCTTAGAATATCTTTGTCGTCGACCCCTGCAGAACCTCCAAAGCATCACCTAGTTCGTTAAACGTTTCCCAGCTCAAAGCTGAAAGTGGTAGAAATAAGTCCTTAAAACAAGGAATGCCAAATGCAGACATAGCTACCATTTCTGATAACAGTTCGAAGCAAAAACCTTATCACTTTCAGGTGACCACGGAGTCAGAGAGAGTCGTCTTCCCTTGGTTGTCTTTTGCATCTCCACGCTGACTCTGCCCACCATTCCAATTTCATCGCCTCTGTAGGAGAGCATCTTCCATGCATCAACCCAACCATGGCAAAACCCTGAGGCTCAGTTTGTAAGGAGTACAAATGCAAATTTGTAGAGTACAAAACCTTATGTTTTGTATCTATTTACGCTGTACATATTTTCATTTGTACTGCTTCCAAACTGAGCCTGAGTACCGCCTATTCCCTTCTCCCCCATCCACACTTTAATCTTTGTTTATTACTTTCTCTACTATTTTCTTATTCTGTTATAACAAAGGGCGAAGACAGAAAAGCGGTGATGGTGTTATATTCAAATGGGGAATTAGGAGGAGATCATCAAAGAGAGCGAATACAAGCAGTGAGCACATATGCACATGCGTCTTTATATGCTCAGAGAAGCATGAAATAAGCAGGTAAGTAACAAACACAATGCAAATTAAGATTGGGAAAGGAATATACTTACATGAATAGATTTGCCTATGCCAAAATCCAAACCGGTTTCTGCTTTTGAATGCATAAGGTTTTCTTGCCAGAAAATCCAACGCTGTTTCCCCATTTACATGAGTACTGGCTACTTCTGGGCAGCGATGCAAAAGATCCAAAGCCATGCCTAAAATTGCAAAGGCATAAACTAGAATAATATATATCTGGGTCTACTTGGGTTCAAAATTCGCAGTGAGAAGGGGAGTCAGTAGCAGTAGTTAGTCATTTGAACTCTGCAGATCGAATAGGGGTGGAAATGGAGATTATGAGGAGCTCAGAGCTTTAGTCATGTAAAGATGGAGAGTTAGAGGTGGCTTACCATAGCAATCAGCAGCAATCAAGTGAACAAGAAGTGCTGCAGAGTCTTCTATAGTTGAATTTAGACATGCATCTGTAGCACAACCATAGAGATATTGCAGTACATCCTTTCTGCAGAAATTTGCAGCTGAAAGGAGTGGGGTGATTCCATTGAAGTCACGGATATGGAACAATCCAGGGTTCTTTTCCAGCATTGCCTCCGCCATCTTTCTGGTCCCTCCTTCAGTGACAAGGTGAAAAGCAGTAGAACCAACAAGGTTCTGTATTGCCAGTTTCTCTGGTGGTAAGATCTTCACCAACTCTACCACAAAATTAGTGTTTCCAAAGAAAGCGGCAACGTGAAGAGCAGTTTTCGACCAGTTATCAATACCGGCAGTCAATGCTTCCGGGTGCTTGTCAATGAACCGTTTGGCCGTTTTCCAGTCACCATAGAAAGCAGCATTATATAAGATCCGATATTTGCTCAAGCTTTCACCACCATCATCACCTAGCACTGCAAATAATATATATATATACTCAATCTCTTTCATCCATACATATTTTAGAAGATAGAACTGAGCCCAGTTGTTCTTGGTATTGAGCCTATCAGAATAAGCAAATTAATCTTCAAAACCCAAGTTCCTCCCTACAGGTTCATATGGCATTGGTGAAAGAGGCAAATGGGTTTGCTAATTTCAATTTTGGATTGGATCAAATCAGTATAGCAGATTGAGTTTGGATTTGGATTGGATTGGGTTAACACCCAATTAATTGACAGCTCTTGGGAATTGGTTGGATACAGACCCAACCTCTGGCATTCTTTTCAGGATGGCAGCTTTGGGTTACGTTCTCGCATTAATAGCAGACTCCCCAATGAAGAACAGACATGCTAGACATCAAATCAAAGCAGATCATTCTGGTATTTTGTACTCAAAGAAACAAACGGCTATGCAAGAATGGTTTATTAATTGGGGTCAAAATCAGAAGGTAGGTTGACACCAAATGTGATACTACAATTCGAGTATTTTATTGGCGTCACAATCGAAAATGCTGTGGCCATTTTTGCAGCTTTTTTGGTAAATTGCAAATTAGTATCTTTACTTTGGGGGGTTAGTTCCAATTTACTATTGGGATTTCAAAATTTGCCATTGCACTACCTAAATTCTCGAAAATTGGCAATTTAGTATATGCTGTTAGTAGTCTGTCAGTTCTCACGTGACTACATGTGTCACTTAAATTTTTTAAAAATGCTAAAATTACCTTTTTAATACTTTTGACATCATTTTACCTCAATTTTCTTCCCCGGCCACGGTAAGAATTATTTGTCTTCTCCAGCAACAACTACACAGTCTAGCCCCCTTGTTATGGATTGAGTAACTGAAAAAAGGATTACAACAATGGTGGTCTAAATCTCTCTTCTCCGGCAACAACATCATCTTCTCTGGCAATGTTTTTCCATGTAGTTTTTCTGCCAGGAAACACTGGTTCTTCGGCATAAAGGTTAGGGCATAAAGTGAACAATTAATGGTGCAAAATAGACCTGTTCATGGGCCGGGTCGGGGTCGGGCTCGGGCAGGGCTTTTACTCTTTATTAACAGAAAAATGTTAGGCCCGTGCCCGATCCCGGCCCGACCAACGGGCTTACAACTTGGGCCCGAGCCCGGCCCTGATAAAAAGCCCGAAGTCCAAAGCCCGAAGCCCGACCTAATAAAAGAAATTCGAATTTTTCTCTATTCAAATGAACATTATCTATTTTAATTCAGATGTTTTTTTCCCCTATTTAAATGAACAATGGGCTTACAAGTGAATCAACAACTTTTCAAATAAAAAAATTTATTCAAATGGACATCACATAAGGTTTTTACTTAGGTTTAACTATAGGTCAGGCCGGCTATTTTGGCAAAGCCCGAGCCCGGCTCGAATTTTATGCGGGCCGGGCTTTTTGGCCTGAGGTTAAGCCTGCGGGCCAAAAAACCTGTTCAAGCCCGTCCGAGGGCCGAGCTGGCCCGTCGAGCCACCCGGCCCATGAACAGGTCTAGTGCCAAATCAGAGTGAAAAGTGATTTAAACATAATTATTTTGGCCATTTCAAAATTATGCTTCTCTCACCTATTCAAAACTTGAAGGGGCATTTGTGTCCTTTCACGCACCATTTAAGGTCATTCACGATTTTGGACCAAACTAGCAGTTTTTGACAGTCAAGTATTGCAATGGTAAGTTTTCAAATTTGGATACTAAAGTGAGATTAACCCCAATGTCCAGGGTACTAAGGCTGCATTTGGCATTTCTTATTTTGAAGACTTGTTTCCTTTTTTGCAGTTAAACATTGAATTTTTTACAGAAAAAAGTAGATAAGTCCTTAAATTAAAATAAGGAATGCCAAATGCAGCCTAATTAATCTTTAATTTGCCCTTTAAACTATGTGACCTTACCTTCCTTCATCTTCTGAGATTGAGAAGAAAGTGTCTCTGTAATTTTCCTACTCCTGCCCCATGCTGACATGCACTCATTAGCCAAGCATTTCCATGCTTCTCTGGCTGAACTCAACTTCTTGACATGGGAAAACATATCGGTTCCACATGAAATTTGGATCGCATGCAGAGCTTTACTATTCTTTTCTCTCCAGGCTGCATAACTTGGATCATCAGTAGGTGGTTCACGTTCTGTTTCATCAACAATGCCCCAGAGGTTTTTTCCCACCAAATAGTTTTTCATCAAAATTTTCCAGTCGTCGTAGTTATCGTACGTCAGAACTTCACGAACCATGGCTTTTGACAGCGATGACATGGTGGCTTTTCTCCAAAAAGCTGAGGAGATTGGAGCAGTTGATGATCAAGAATATCAAATAAATTAAAAACAAGAACAAGAAATTAAGACAAGATGGTGACAATAAAAGCTTCGAGACGCTTTACCAGCAGATAGGTTTCACTACTGTCTAAAGTTTCTCTTGCTTGTGTAGAAATGCAAGCTTGGATGGCTATCGGAGTCGGTTCCAAATTATGTAGAACTGAAAAGCTCAGCTGGTTGATAGTTAAGAAAGATGCAGTATTTATAGCCTGAAGCAAGATGCTTTTGAGGGAGTGAAGGAATAAAGGCAATTTGAAAGCTGTTACTAGCAATTAGGTGCCTTCTGTTTATTCCATCTAGAGCAGCGTAAAAATGAGAGCATTCTTATCATTAAGAGCCATTTGATGCCCTCTTGAAACGTGAAAGGAATTCGAATTGAAACCCACCATTGCAAGGCATCCATCCTTTTAGGATTCCATTCAGCAAAGTTTTAAAGAGATTGAATGACCACAATTGCATATTTTCAATTTGAAGTAAAATTTATTGGGTACAAAAAGGAAAAGGGAAGAGCAGAAATAACTTCGAATTTCTAAGAGTGACATATTAAAGTTAACATTGATGCCATTGAATGAAGATAAGTAGATAACTCATGCTGTGATGGAAAATAAGGGTCCGTTTGATTTATAGTTGGAATTGGAATCGAAATCTTCTGGAATCAGAATTAGAATAGTCCATTCCCATAATTTGTTTGGTTCAGACAGGAATTGAAATAAGAATTAAAATTCATAGGAATGGGATTTCATTCCCAAGGGAGGGCAGGGAATGGCCATTCCCTCAAATGAGGAAATGTCATTCCAACAAGAATGGAAATAGGATTCTAATTCTATCCAACCAAACAGTTGGTCCAGACCCCTATTCCTGTAAACCAAACAGACCCTAAGAATATAATTAACTTTTAATTACCTATCTACATCTATTGTTGAAAAGATGTGTTGAAATCAAGACTCCCATAGTCAATCTCATCTTTGTCTATGTAGCTCGTCCTGATCACGTTGGTACAAGGTTGGTGTTATTCAGGAGTCTAGAAAACCAACCCAAGAATTAGAGTTATTAGATTATGATGTGTACGTTTCTGCTAGTAAAAACTTGGTGGATTTCAGTATTTTATAAAAATTTATGTAACATAATAAATAATCAAAACTTAGTGGATTCAATATTTTTCAACTTAGAGATATAACTTGCAGTTTGTACCATTGTTTTCAGTTGATTAAAACAGTTAGATAGACATCATTTAAACAAACTTTTTGAGTATATATATATATATATATATATATATATATATATATATATATATGGCTGGACGGTTTTGGGTTGGATCCAAACCGATTTAAATCTTATTAAATTGGTTTTGGACAATCCATTATACTTATTGGGTTGGGCCAACCCAAAATAAAACCGTCCATATTATTATTGGTGAATCGATCTAAAACCAAAACCCAATAGTTGAATCACCATCTCGCCAAACCCTACAGATTAGATTCAAAGTCAAAATCAAAACCGTTAGTGGTATTTGAAGATACTTTTGGGCTGTGCTCGTCTTTGGAGCTTTACAGCTTTGCCGGGACTGGAAGTCTTAACAAAATTGCTGAGAAAGGAAGACGAAGATGGGAGAGCAGAACCTCTAATGGCATCGTTAGTGATATTTGAACCATGATGAAATTTTGTTTTCGTCTTTTAGCTCTGTGAAATTTTGTTACAGAAAAACTGAACCATGATGACATTCATGCCTACATTATTGAGGTGTTGTACTGATATCCCTTACATAGAATTTACTTGTTGATTGCCTTACAGGAACCAGGCTTTCAGCTGCAATACTTTTGAAACAAACAGGATTTTCAAACTATGTTTCAGACGTTTTAAAGAAGAACAAAATGCTTCGGTGCCAGCACTGATGTACTTTATGATCAGGATGATCGGTGCCTTAGTTACTCTTACGTCTCAGTGGGATGATCTGCGATCCCAAAGCACAACTAAGGCAATGCATTTGATAGCCTTCAGATTGGAATTTTGGAACAGATGGTGGGACCCTCCAACTACTAAAATTTCAAGTAGAATGGGAACTTATTACTTATTTGCTTCTATACCCCTATGCTTTAAGATTGAGATATTCACATCAATCACTACTAAAACTAAGTAGAATGTTTGGCTTGCGCACATTTTTTGGGTTTTCATGTATTTCTTGAATTTTCATTTAGTTTGGACCTGGTTGAACCCAATCCAATCTATTTGCATTTCAAATGAACTGGATCCAATCCAGTTTGTATAGATTTGGATTGGATTTAGTCCAATCCTTTGTAAATGGACCAATATTAGATCAGATTGGATTGGACTAAATCCAGTCAGATTGACACCCCTATATATATATATAACTAATGTCACTAGTTGAATCGCTGACTTATCCACTGGATATAGTACTTTATTTTCCTTATTTTAGCTAAATTTCAAAGTATCAATATGCCCCTGTGTATCGTTAGAGGCATATCGTACTTAAAACCATGTGTCTTTTTTTGTTTTTTTATCAAAATTTGGTTTTTTGTTAAAAAGAACAAGGCTAAACAGGTGTATCGGGACTGGTAAAATATGAATGTCACACAATGGGGCATTTCTATCATTTTATTTAATATGACTAATATATAATTTCAAAAACATGCTGAAATTTTCCATGTAATTATTCTTTTTTTTTACTTGGGCATGCTGAAATTGACCCGGTTTCCCTAATAAATATACTTTTACTTGGGCATTATAAAATATGAATGTCACACAATGGGGCATATAATATAGTAAGGGTCTGGTGATCGTTAATTAGTAAAAGTCAATATTTTGTTTAATTAAATTTACTTAGTTTTATGTACATCATGTGTTGAATGAGACCTATCAAACTGTGGGTCCTACATTCTGTAATATGAGACACGTGGCAGCACAGGAATCACACCTTATAACCAAATATAGGCACCTTTATCACTTTATCTTAGCATTGCCTTTATCACTTTACCACTTTTGGCATTTACTTTATCATATATTTTCTCACTTTTTTTTTTCTTTAAAAAAAGATAAAACTTTCACTTTATCTTAGCATTGTTGTTCTATCAATATTAGGCACAAGAATATTAGAGAATATAGCCAGATTATCACTTTATCTTAACTAACAACGGTTCTATCTTTGTTTTATAATTAAACCTATATGTACAAATTATGGATGCAAGATTATCATAATATAATATTTGCGGGTTTCGATTAATGGCAAGCAGAATTTTTGCCTCTTCCATTTTTAGATGCTTTGTAAAGAGAATATAGTCAATAGTGTCATGCTTGGGTCATTGTTTTGGGTCATTGTTTTCTCAATTCTTGTTCATTATAGGTAAGAATGGGCAAAAATGAATAACATTAGAGTGTTTGGTTACAAAATTCTTGTATAGGGTTATGTTTTTTTAGTATGAAAAATCAGTCTCATAACACAAAAATTGACTAGTCTCTAGCAACCATGCCCCATCTTGCTCATTTCATTCTTCGAGGAAACTCTACCTATAAAACTGTTGCCATAGATGTTTACTTTTGTGAAAGCACTTTTACAAAAAAATACTTTTACGAAAACACTTTTACATTAAAGCACTTTTATGAAAATATTTTTATGGAGGTACTTTTATAAAAGCACTTTTACGGAAGTACTTTTATGAAAGTACTTTTATAAAAACACTTTTATAAAACACTTTTATAAAAGTACATTACTAAAGCACTTTTACAAAAGCACTTTTATGAAAGCACTTTTACAGTACTTTCACGAGCACTTTTAGGAAAGTACTTTTATAAAAATACTTTTATGAAAGCACTTTTATAAAAGCTCTTTTACATAATTACTTTTATAAAAGCATTTTTGTGAAAGTACTTTTATAAAAACACTTTTATAAAAGTACTTTCACATAATATTTATGCCAATCGGTAAACATTGACCATTGGAGACCTAGGTTGGCGGTTTGTGAATGCCGACATTTTTTTTTTAAGAATAAAAATGAGCAACATAGGACACTTTTATGAAAGCACTTTTATAGAAGTACTTTCATGAATGCACTTTTAGGAAAGTACTTTTATAAAAGCACTTTCATAAAAGTACTTTTATAAAAACACTTTTAGGAAAGTACTTTTATAAAAACACTTTCATAAAAGTACTTTTATAAAAACACTTTCATAAAAGTACTTTTATAAAAGCACTTTTATAGAAGTACTTTCATAAAAGCACTTTTAGGAAAGTACTTTTATAAAAACACTTTTACAAAAGTACTTTTACATAACATCTATGCCAATTGGTAAACATTGACTATTGGAGACCTAGGCTGGCGGTTTGTGAATGCTGACACAATTTTTTTTTTTTTTTGAAGAATAAAAATGAGCAACATAGGACACTTGTTAGATTGAAAATAATTTATTTTTAGGAAAAAATTGTTTGATTCATAGCAATATAACAAGTATGAAAAGGATAATAAGATACCATTCTACTATTCTTACATTTATGGAACTTGATATTGAAATGTTATTTGAAGAACATAAATATGCCAAAAATATGTTTGGTGTTGTTATTGAAACTTATGGGAAGGTTACTGAATCTTACATTTAGTTATTGATAGAAAAATTTTATGGTTTTGCAATAAAAGAAGATGATCTTATTGTTGAAAATGTTAACAAAATGATAGTAATAGCTAAAGAATTAGCAGTTGTAGGAAATTCCATTCCGGACAAAGTACAATTCTCTATAATTCTACATAGTTTTCCAAAATCTTGGAACAAGTAGTGATATCTCTTAACCTCTCTGGCCAAAACATCATTATGTAGAATCTCCCCATGTTACTTGCTGCTGAGGCTGAGAGAAGAAATAAAAAGAATAGTTCTCAAGCCTTAGTTACTAAACTCACTCCCTTTGAACCAACTAAATCAGGTGAGAAGCCTCAACCTAAATTTCAGAAGGGAAAAGGAAAGTGGTTCAAAAAGACTAACTTTAATAAAGGAAAGAAGAAAGTGATTTGTTTCAACTGTGGTGCTCCAAGACACACTAAATATAAATGGCATTTAAGACTTGGCCATGTAAATGAGGATAAATTAAAAAGGATGTGTGACAATGACTTATTACCAAAAATGAATATAGACTTTAAGACCTGTGAACCTTGTTT